TTCGGCTCAAATGACTCCTAGGTCAGAAAAAAGTTGCAATCCTGACAGCATGATAGGACCATAGGAAAGTAGGGAATTGATTCACATGGCAAAAAAATTGATTCCCATTCATCAGGGACAAAAACTCCATGACAACCATGACAACAGAGAGAAAGTACCTGGCATGATTTTTTCCTCTAATTGGCTTTTCCCCTCTCATTTCTGCTCTCAGTGGCACATTTAAGAAGATCCCCCCTTGAAACCATCTCTCCTGCTATGAGTGGACAGCCAGTTTCATAGCCAGCTGCATCCATCTTGGAGGGCAATATGTCCAGTTGGAAAATTCTTCTGGAAAAGAAATAAGCAATTTCAACTTTGGCAAGAACTGTGTCTTTGGGGGGGAATCTGGGTCAAGGTCACAGGACTTAGAACAGTGACTTCTGTGTTATCACAATATCTGTGAGATTCTTCCAGGAAGATCCTCGTGGAACAAGGTTTTCGGTCTCTCCCATTCTTCAGTTCTCATCTCTCTCTCTTCCTTCCATGTTCTACATTTAAAGTTCTTCAGATTCTCTTTCTCCTTACCCAAATTCTCAGACCATCTGTAGAAAGAATATCCTTAAAGATAAAGTTTCAGATATTACTCTGGGGTGAAGGATGAGTTTTGAATTCTTAAGGATGTGAACCTTGGGCTCTGTCATCTTTTTTTTTTTAACCTGCAAAATGGGAATGATAGGATAATCTATACTGAGATGAGATAATGTCTATAAAGTCCGAAAGACTGTAAAAGTCAATAATTGAGCTGAATCAAAAATAATAATTTACTGAGTTTCTGAGAAATTTCTTAAGATCAAAACCTGCTTGTGTATGTTTTCCAGTTTTCTTTACTCAAAGGATTCTTTTAATTTAATTTTTGCCCTTCAGGATTCTTTTTTTGAAATACTAATAGTTAATTTGATTCTATTTAAATGCATAGTTTGGATTCATGACTTCTGAGTAGCAAAAAACCGAGTCTTGGTTATATGACAGGATGCTCATGTGCAATACATTTATGACTTTTGATATACTTAAAATAGTTCTCCATACTTAAAATAGTTCTCCAGATCTTGGGATCTGAAGACACCAGGCTGGGCAACTCAGATATCAGAGATGTCCACTCCAAGCACAAGTAGTGTTTGCCTAAATGTTCCTTTTCACTTTCTTTAACAATCATTAACAAATACAATCATTCATAAACATGTTCTTTATTCAGTAACATTCCCAGCTTTACCTGATTTTGTACCCTCCACAACTTTGCAAACTGACCATCTCCTTATTAAATCAGGGTAGGAGGACTGGCGTGTTGGCTCAAGCCTATAATCCCAGCACTTTGGGAGGCCAAGGCGAGAGGATTGCCTGAGCCCGTGGGTTTGACACCAGCCTGGGCAACATAATGAGACCTCATCTCTACAATAAATCAGACAATTAGCTGAGCATGGTAGTGTGTGCCTGTAGTTCCTACTTGGAAGACTGAGGCGGAAGGATTGCCTGAGCCCAGCAGGTCAAGGCAGCAGTGGCCAGGAGCATGCCTCTGCACTCCAGCCTGGGCAAGAGAGTGAGAAGCCAACTCAAAAAAAAAAAAAATCAGAGCAGGAAGGGTCTTGGTCACTTATATTCATCTAGTAAAATAACCAACCAATATTTACATCAATCACCTTTTCCTCTCCAATTGTCTTGGGACATGGTGAACACACGCAAAAAAAAAAAAAAAAAAAAGAAAGAAAGAAAAGAAAACTGATCAAAGAGAGCGAATACATCCAAAATTTTGTCTCTTTTCCCCTAGTTTACTAAATTTTAACATAATAATTTTTCATAATAAATTTTATCATGACTAAGAAAATCAATCTACAACTCCTTTCTCTTTTCTGAGAATGGTGGGTTACATAAAATACATTTAAATACAGCTACTAATGTCACCAGAATGTAATTAAAAAGTAAGGAATCTACTCCAACTGATTGATCAGCAGTTTGACTTATTTTTACTGAATTGACCATGTATATTGGTATTTGAGAGATGTTCTCTGGTTTATATTTTCAAAATATTTTCATTAAATCTAACTCATAAAATATCTGAGATTATATTAACAGTATTTTATTCTAAGAGTAAACAGAAAGACTTGCAAGTTTATAAAACTATAACAAAAATGAAACAAAAGTAAGATAGTTTTATATCTAAAGTTAAATGAAAGATCCATTTGTTAATGTATTAAACACAAATTTGTTGAGCTATGCAAATATTTGTATTCATAATGCTTAGCATCGAGTAAAAAACCATCTCCACTAGTCCATGTACTATGTATAATCAGTGTTGTCAACTTGAGGGCACTTGGTGTTGGTGGAATATTTAAAAAGTAGCATCCAGAATTTACACTCCAGATAGGTGGGAGATAACACAATAATATAAGATAGAAAGAAATATAATCATTCATTCACAAGATTCTTTAGTCTAGCTTAGAGACTATCTAGTGTAAGAAATAATTTTATTAAGAGCAGTTTAATAATTGCTTGATACTTCAGTATTAATTTTTCCTTTATTCCCTTACACAGAGAAAAGTGACAATAGGAATGATAATTGCTAACACTTATTGAGCACTTATGTCATGAAATCCCTGCAACAACCCTATGAGATGGTAACTATCAATAGCTTTGCTTATAGATTAGACAACTGAGGTATAGACAAGCTAATAACTAGCTAATCATCACAGATGAAGCAAGTAAAAGCCAGGAAAGGCTATTCTCTCTCTCTTCCTCTATCTCCTACCTCTTCTCCTCCCTGTTAAGCATTTATGTATGTAATAACTTTTTATCATAATCATAGGAGTTGTAGAAAATCAGGAAAATACAGATAAGTCTAAATAACAAAATCAAAATCATACCACCCATTAATTTAACACTTTAGCATTATAAATGGTTCATAAGATGTGTGTGTGTGTGTGTGTGTGTGTGTGTGTGTGTGTGTGTGTGTGAGAGAGAGAGAGAGAGAGAGAGAGCTAGCTCAAGCATGTAAGAGAGACTGTATAAAGTAAATTATTTTCCTCCAGAAAAGTAGAACCATCTTGTGCTCTCATCAGTGGTGTATGTCAGTGCCTGCCTATTCCTTATTGATTTATAAGATACAAGCTAAAAGAATAACGATATTGTCTTTTTTATGTCTTGTTACTATTTTTCTCTAGTTCATCTATTGTATTTAAAATGTATTTTATATAGGTGAGTTTATCTGTCATAATCAAGTTTTAAATTGTTTTTTCATATTTCTTATCTTTTAGTTTCTCTTTTGGTATTATGTTTCAGAAATATTATTTCCATCTCAAGATCATATAAATATGTATGTATTTATTCCTCAAATACTTTTTAACCCATAGTGAGTCAGTTCTCACAGATCATTTATGACAGAATTTATCCTTTCCCTATTAATTTAACACTGATTTTATCATATATAAAATTCTTACCTATACATATATTTATTTATGAAATTTTTATTTGTTCTTTTAAAACATGTATTTTACTACAAGAATAATAAATTTTCAATGTTTAGAATACTTTTAATAACTGACAATTCAAGTATTTCAAATTATTTCTCTTTTTCAAAATTTTATTACCTGTTTTCATTGGTTTAGTCTTTTATCTCAAATAAAAAGTTTGGGTATAGACCATAGCCTATAGTTGTTATCGACTACAAATTTGTCAGGGAGCTCTAACTTGCTGATTCAACCTACCAAAATAAAGTATCCTTTGTAGTATTGGAAAATTTAAATATTTACTTAGACCCTTTTTCCTTGATCAAGACCTATTACGGTTTGATGCTAGGTGTCCATTGACCCAAAGTCAAGCAAACTTAATTTTTAAGAAATGATTTATGTGGCTTATATCTTTATGGTCCTAAGTGACTTGACCTACATGGACACTAGGTCTGAATCTATATCTTCCTAGGGGCAATGATGTCTCACTGTCGATAGGGCTGATGTCTCAGGAATTTTTTCAAATTAACTCATAAAAATCTAGCACCTTTCCCATTCCTACTCACAGGTATTGCTCTCATTCATAGTTATTTGTAAGCAATCAATATAACAATAGGCAACACTTATTGAACAATTACTTTTTACCTGATTGCATGCTGAGTATTTACATGACTTTCCTGTTATGACCTTCCCAGTAACCACATAGTTCAGGGTCTTTGATTGTCCTCACTTTATCATGAGTACATCAAGCTTAATGTGTTTATGCCACTGGACAAGTTAATAGAGCAAGAGGGTATCGGAACTAAAACTCCAAAATCTGAACCGTTAAGCATATTACTATGCTGTTTCCTAAGGAAAAAAACACCCTAAAATTGAGACAATAATTGGGTCCAAGAGTAAGCTGTACTCAGCTCCTTTTGGAATGCTTTTTATGAAGAGTTCCCTAAAATGACTTATTCCATAACTTTATCAGGCACACATGCTCTATCCACCACAATATTATCAGAATTTATGATATTTTCCTAGCAAGTTTGGAAGTGTTGTATTAGGTATGCTTTTTTAAGTTTGAGAAATTATTATAAACAGGGCAAGTAATTTTGATTTTGGGTAAAATAAGAAATGTTTAAAATCAACTTAGATAGCAATCCAGGAAAGAAGACCATTTTCAAATTCATTTAGGAAACATGTCACTTATGTTTTCATGATTCTAAAGCAGCAGTTATATGACACATTATTAGAGGTCTTTTTAAAACCTTTTGTTTTAAACAATGGTCTCTACCTCATATATAATAACATCAGCATTTCTATGGTACTTTTGAAAAACTTGCTAGCCAACTATTTAAATGTCTTTTCTCAATTGCCATGAGATTCCATATATTAATCGAGAACCTGAAACAATGAGCGGGTGCATGATGACAATTAAAGAAAAACTGGAGTTTTTCACCAGAAGGACAGTGCTCATTAGAGGAATATCTGGACACACGTGAAAATGGTAATGTTATTATTTCATCTGAGTCAGCAATCATTCTTTGTCTCCTTTTCTGATATTAGGAGCACCGAGTCAATGATTTGGAGAAGAAATACTACAGAGATCACCTATTTCATCCTGCTAGGGTTCTCAGATTTTCCCAGAATTATAGCAATACTCTTTGTCATATTTCTGGTGATCTATATTACATCTCTGACCTGGAACCTGAGCCTCATTGTTTTAATAAGGATGGATTCCCACCTCCATACACCCATGTACTTCTTTCTTAGTAATCTGTCCTTCATAGATGTCTGCTATGTCAGCTCTACAGTCCCCAAGATGCTCTCCAACTTCTTCCAGGAGCAGCAAACTATTACCTTCGTGAGTTGCATTATTCAGTACTTTATCTTTTCAACGATGGGACTGAGTGAGTCTTGTCTCATGACGGCCATGGTCTATGACCGCTACGCTGCCATTTGTAACCCCCTGCTCTATGCATCTATCATGTCACCCAGCCTGTGTGGTCAGATGGTCCTAGGAGCCTACATGGCTGGACTCACTGCTTCTTTATCCCAAATTGGTACTTTGCTTCAGCTCTACTTCTGTGGGCCTAATGTCATCAATCACTTCTTCTGTGACATGCCTCAACTGTTAATCCTGTCCTGCACTGACACTTTCTTTGTACAGGTCATGACTGTTATATTAGCAATGTTCTTTGGGATAGTAAATGCTCTAATTATCATGATATCCTATGCCTATATTGGCATCTCCATCATGAAAATCACTTCAGCTAAAGGCAGGTCCAAGGCATTCAACACCTGTGCTTCTCATTTGACAGCTGTTTCTCTCTTCTATACATCAGGTATCTTTGTCTATTTGAGTTCCAGCTCCGGTAGTTCCTCCAGCTTTGACAGATTTGCGTCAGTGTTTTACACTGTGATTATTCCCACGTTGAATCCCTTGATTTACAGTCTGAGGAACAAGGAAATTAAAGATGCCTTGAAGAGGTTACAGAAGAGAAGGTGCTGCTGAGGTCATTATTTCTGAAAGATCTGACAGATTTTGCCTGCCAAAATCACCTTAACCCACAACAATAAGTACACAAATGCAATTCAACAAAATTCATACTGCCTACTGCCTTTGGGTAAATAGGTCTTGATTTGATGCCGACAATATGCCAGTATGGATCAACAGTTGAGTCAATGCCACGGATATATGGAATGTTCATTATTTTCACCCTGTATCAAAGGTGGCCTCATCATTTATTAATCTATATACTCATACAAGTGTTTGCAAAATGGCAAGATTTAAACATCTTTTTCTTTCAAGTTTTTAATTATTTTTTCTTTAGAATTTTAAAATTTTTTTATTTCAATGACTTTAGGAGGTAAAAATAATTTTTGGTTACATGGATGCATTGTATAGTGGCAAAGAAGTCTGGACTTTAAGTATACGCTCTGCTCCCACCTGTGCACATTGTATCCGATAGGTGATTTTTCTTCCCTACATCCCACACTCCACCTTCTGTGTTTTTGGTGTCCATTATGTCATTCTGTATGCCTTTGCAATCCTTTAGTTTAGCTCCCACCTATAAGTGAGAACATATAGCATTTGGTGTTCTGTTCTTGCGTTAATTCACTTAGAATGATGGTCTCCAATTCCATCCAAGTAGCTGTATTTATTTTCATTTACTTTCATGGCTGAGTAGTATTCCATAGTATATGTATGTATCACATTTTCCTTATCCACTGATCGATTGATGGTCATTTAGGTTAATTCCACACCTTTGCAATTGTAAATTGTGCTGCTGTGGACATATCAATGCATATAACAACCTCTGTTCCTTTGGATAGATACCTAGTAGTGAGATTGCTGGATCAAATGGTAGATCTATATTTAGATTTTTAAGAAATCTCCATACTGATTTTCAGAGAAGTTGTCCTAGTTTACATTCTCACCAACAGTGTATAAGCATTTCCTTTTCCCCACATCTGTGCCAACATCTGTTTTTTTTTTTTTTTTGAGTTGAAGTCTCACTCTGTCACCCACGCTAGAGTGCAGTGGAACGCTCACAGTCACTCCAGCGTCAACTTGCTGGTGTCCGGCAATCCTTCTGTCTCAACCTTCCAAGTAGCTGGAACTACAGGTGCACTACCACACCTGGCTAATTTTTGATTTATTGTAGAAACAAGGTCTCTCCAAATTGCCCAGGCTGGTCTCAAACCCGCGGGCTCAGGCAATCCGCTGGCCTCGGCCTCCCAAAGTGCTGGAGTGAGGCTGAGACACCGAGTCCAGCCTAAATTCTTAAACTACATTTCTGTGCAAGATTAAGAATACTATGAAATTTCACAGTAGCCCTTCAGTCACCAGAGCAATACTTACTAAATTTCCACATCCTCCTAAAACATGCCAGATCTGGTGCAACCAAATGCAAAAGGATTGGGCTCTTTTCCCTCTTTGAAGTCTAATGTAGACCAAATATGTATAGATATATACAAAGATAGCAATTACATTCATCAGGTAATATGTAATGATTATACAGCGGAAGGTGGTCTCCACTTCTGGCCATGATAGTGTAACTCAGACCAGATATACTCTTTGCCTTAAACTAAAATATTGGACAAAATATATAAAACAATGGTTTGTACACTGGATAACTGACAATGCAGGACAGGAATCCCTAAGAAAAAGAAAACAAATGAGGTGGTCCTATGATTACTCTGGCCTATAGCCTGGAGAGATTTTCTAGACCATGTTGAAGAGTGGAGGAACTCAAAAGGAGCCCAGTGTACCCTCTCCAACCCCAAGTTAAAGAATTAGTAGGCAAAATATTTAAAATATTAAGATGACTATTATATTCTATATATCCAAGAAAAATAGAGGGTGAATTTTAAGAAGAGATACAAAATAAACCATATTTTTGTGTGTAGTGAAAAAATACAAATACGAGATAAGGAAGATAAAAAATAAACCATATTTTTGTGTGTAGAGAAAAAATACAAGTGCAAAAAAATGCACTAACAAAATTTACAACATATAACATTCTGCAGAAGAAGTTTGGTAAATATAAAGGCACATCAATAGACACTGTCCAAAAATGAAACACAGAGAGAAAAGAAATCAAAATAAAAATTGAACACAGTATCAGTGAGTTGTGAGACACTGTCAGTCCGTTTAATATATATGTGAATGCGGGCTCGGTTGCTCAGCCTGTAATCCCGTGCCTTTGGGAGGCTGAGGTGAGTGGATTGC